AATATAATTTTCAAAACCAATCTATACTCGTTCCTGGTTTTAGCGCGACACCACCGCGTCGCGCAGCTACCCTAATTATTTTGAGCCACGGCCCGAATTAAGCCCAATTTAGGCCGAAATTCGAAATTACGCTCCTGCGCGTTATTACGTGCAAATACGGTATTAGAAAAATATATTAATAATAAATCTCCTCTAAAATGGATATGCATTAAAGGTCATGAATAGCAAGCATCATTTAATAATGTAAAAATAATAACACTTGGTGCCCCTATTGTGAAAAGCGCGGATTGAAACATAATATAAACTTTGCAAAAAAGTTAGCACGTAAGAAGAATGGCAATTGAAAATACATTGATACCAATAAACCATTACTGTGGAGTTGTGCAGAGTGTTATAAATGGAAAACCAGCTTACATAGCACACAGCGTGGTAGTTGGTGTTCAGTATGTGAAGTTAATTCTTTAAGACACGATCTTCAAATTGCAAAAGATCTAAGATAAGTGTCTTTTAGAAAAATATAATAATATTATGTTTCCGTTCTTATTGGAATGTTTTTTACAACACAAAAAATATCATGAATTTTTTCATGAAGGAAATTCCAATAATTTTATTAAACATCAAGAGCGGGATCAACTTAAGAAAATATTATGTGAAAAAATAGTATATATCTCTTTCACATATAGTATAATGATAAAGATCCTGAAAAGATTATTCGACAAGAACTATACACACTAGGATTTATTGACTAATCATTTTCAGGTCTCACTAATAATATTTTATAATTCAATATAAATTTGGCAATACTTTTTTTTAGGGTATATCTCAACCTAGTCTAATCGCTAATGGATCATCGATTGGTTTGGTGAAATCAATTCAATTAAAATGTTGTATTTATTATTATTTGATTACATCATTCTACAAGACTTCATAGTTTGAGAATCTGATTTGGTTGAAATACAGTAGATAATGATTTTTTTTAATAGAGATTTTATATAAAAATTTATGTTTGAATCTTTAATTTCATAAATTAAATTTGTTACCATTAAATTTAATAATTTTTATAATTATATTGGGATTATAGCTTTGGTCAATTATATTACTCACCATAACCTACACACATTCAAGGGATTAAGTATATAAATTCTATACGCACCAAGAAAACAATATATGAATGTATAATCAATTATTAATTTATTAAAATGTTCAAGCTACATGCATCTAAGCAATAAATCATTGAAATTTAGAATCATTTAGTTTAGCAAATCTAATTGCATGATCATAATAATCATAAACGCTGTATACATTCTTTAGAAAAGTGGTACCAAGTATCCATTCATTATCTGATGCTGAAAGAATTTAAATGAGTATTTTTTTTATTATTATAAAATTTTTATAATGATAGGCATTTAATAAAAATTATATAAATACCTGTAATTCCACCCATTATCATTCCACTACATGTTTCTTGATTTCTTAATTGTTGAACATCTATCAAATCTCTCGGATCAATATCCCAATCAACACTGCCGATTTTTATTTTAACCTTAAATTCACTTTCACAGGGCATTACGAAACTTCCATCATTATCAATTGCATTAGGGATTTTCTGATAAATTTTGTGGGCATCGTCGAATGGTACAATTATTGGGGATATCCCTGAAACAATTTTTCCGATACGACCTTGAAATTCTAATGATTTACCATTGATAGAGAAGCCGTCGAGATGAATTGACCAATAAATATTATCGGACATCTGTGTTGTGACAAGTTCACCAGTATATTTGCTTTGATCAATTCCGCCAATAATTAATTCACTCTCCGTTTCGTCCGCTTCTCTTCCAATCATTAACGAGAATATTGCATTTTCAGTTTCATAATTAAGTAAAATATTTTCATAAACATTATATTCAAATTTTACAAATTCATTAGAAGCGGCCAACCCGAGTATACCATCAAATTCATCATTTTTAAAACTTTCGGGAAGTATATTAACTAATCCGAAATTTTGACCTGAACTATAACCTGGAGTATATCCATTAATATTCAAAGAGGCAGTACTTCTTATTCCATATACATTTCCACCGAAATAAACATAACCAAAAGTTTTATTTTTGGTTTTAAAAGATTTGTCATTTACTGGATTATATTTGGATTTATTTTTGCATGCAGAAGAAGTACAATTTATAGATGGAATTAAAAAATCACCAAATCCAGTATCAATCATTACATTGAATTTTTGTCCGCTGAGAGTAACTTCACCAAAATACGCATAATCTTGATGAAATTCATTTTTTAAAGGCTCGGTAGCAGCTCGCTTTATGTCAGTAGTAGTAGATGGTCTTGAAACATAATGTAATATATGTGCCTTAGAAATTAGTTTCTTCTTTAGCGTGATTGTGTATGGTTTAGGTGATTTGTAAGGTAATGCATTAACAATTAGTAAAGTTGACGTTATAAAAATAAATATATGCCAAATGTACATGGTGAATTAAGGTATCATAAATTTTTAAGATTTATTGAATTGTTTTTTTTTAATTATCTTGTATCGTATAAGTGTGAAATAACGTTCGTAGGAGTTATTTAAATAAAGCAAAAGTGATTTACATATGAATAAGAACTGGCATTCTGGTCTAAGCTTTTCCGAATTAGCCCGATCGGAAAATCGATTTTCCTAGCAAAGATCCCATATAGTTCGAATTGGATGGCCGTTATGTGAGTTTTAACCAACTATCAAGCGTAACATGAAATTAAATAATCTTTTTAATAGATTCTTATAGTTAATGCTAGAATGAGAAAGGCTATATTATAAAACCATTCTAACAACTAGCATTTAATATTTTTATTAGAATTGTTGTATTACATATTAAAATTTTGCGAGAATTACTTAGCAATGAAAATATAAAATACACTGATGTGGTTTTACTAATTTTTTTTAATTGATCAATACTTTATTTTTTTCTTATTATGTGTTAGACTTTCAGTGAATAAATTAAACGAATCTCTACAATTATTTAGTTGAAATAACATATAATATTGTAAAATTCATTTCGGTGTTACTCCCGTCACATGATTAATTTTTTTTATCCCTTTTAAGGCTAGTAGCATTGCTACCGACCTTTACCTTATTGTTATAAAATTAGTATTTTATTTCCTTATTTGTATTTTCTATATATTTGTATATCATTATTACCATAATTGGCAGTCTGAGATTAACAGTTGCACTGTTCCAATAGAATCAATGCGATCTTCATCGATTGTTGAACTGGCCCGATATGAACTGATGTTCCACGACCCCATACGGAAAAAGATATTACCAAAACTTGGTCCAACAGTTTCGTGAAAAGACCAATGAATTAACAACCACATTTTTGAATTGAATTGATAAGGGAAGTTACCGCGTCAGAATGTAACAAGGCGTCTGAATCGTATGATTCATGCATGCTCTGTTTACGTTCATCTAAAGATGAACGTGAAGCATTTAAATATGGGCGCCAAGTCATCTGATTATACATGCCCCGTTTTGATTATTACAATGATTATTTTGAGCCGTGGAAAAGGTTTATTGGTGAAGGACAGGATTGGGATTATAAATTAGATTAGATGGACGGAAGGAAGATATTCCATCAATAGAGTAGTTTAAAGTATTTATGTAAATTCAATGTTGTATTTAAAGACAGAGTTTTCAACCTTCAATAAAATTCTCAGACTTCGTTCTCAAACATTCTTGTTGACTTTTTATAAAAACTTGAGGCTGATTGAAGCCTAGCATCAATAAAACCGTGTATTGTTATCGCCACGCTTCTTGTTAGCATTAAATTATCTTAATGCGTGTTTGTTATTTTAATACATTTATCCATTATTAGTTCTTTTGACTTTATTATCTATTCGTGTGAATACATCTTCACAATATCGATTGTTACAATACGTGAATACATCTTTACGTATCTTCGCATAATACATTGCTGTAATCCCCAACTCCCCATCACGCCTTAAATCAATCCCACCCCATTTTGAATTGTTAACAATTGACAATCAGGATTGATTTAGTCATCTGCATAATCCATTAGGGTATTTCAAATACTAATTAGTCAAAATTATGTAATGGTGCAGTAATAATGATACTACTATTAGATTTTATGCATAAAATTGATCGACAAAATTGAGATGTCTTTACTAGTAAATTACTATCAAAAAAAGCGTTCAAAAAATTGCATCAA